CGAATATCCATTAGGTCATCATCATTTAGACAAATGCTTAAAACAGCTTAAAATGCTAAGCTTAACGCAATGACATTCCATTTGAACGTCCTTAATCTATCCCACACGATGTGACCTTGGAGTAAATGGTTGTAAAATCTGAAAATTGTTGTCTTTACAACAAATTGCTGCCAAGTTCGTATGGATATTGAGATTGAAATGGTAAAAGAGGGAGGAGAGAAGGAATGGCACTGCAATAAGGAATTAAAGTTTCAGTTTCGTAAACTTCCAATAACTCCTGTCACTTTTAGCCTTAACAAATAGCGAACGCTAACAGTCCACCTCAATTGAAATCGCATTGCATCATTTGAGGGAGAAAAAACGAAATGATCAATTCAAAGGGAAGGAAAAGAACGAATGATGAAAGATTAGAGGGATGATAGCTTGTTGAAGAAGGTGAAACTAAAAAGAAGACAGAGTATCATAAAGTTAAGACTAAAGGTAATTGTTGCTGCTTACGAAAGTTCCTCCGATGAGAATGTCCCTGTGAAGTAAACATTTCACTCATCAACTGCTAGCAGTGAATTTTTCCTTCTAGCATTTCTAGCAAAAAAAAATTGCAATGATTAAAGGTAAAACTCGTTTATCACTTTTCAATCAGTAATAGATTTCAGTCTTATTTGGAGTTAATCGTTACTGATAAGGATTTCAGGTACTGATTGATTTTTTTTCAGGAATTTCAGAAAAAAAAGGTATTGACTAGTAAATTGAACTGAATCCAGCAAAACGAGAGCTATCAGCTAAAATCAAAGCTTATTTCTACATTCCATTCGCTTCAGCAAAACACCTCTAAAATGTACTCTTCCTGATATTTAGTTGGTTGATTGCAGCTGTTGAAAGAGTAACAGAATGCAAATTGCGCACCAATGTCGGTAACATGCTGCGCAATGAATGAAAGCAAGCAAATCTCATAAAAACATAAATAAGTGTTATGAAGGGTCGACCCACTCAACCAATCAACATACAGTTCACATTCTTGTTCGAATGAAACCAGTAGTTAACAGAGGGCCGAATGTACTAAAAGTCCAATGAACAAACATTTTAAAAATTTGAGGTTCATCCTCTCATATGTTCGGGTAAATTTCTTGATGATTTTCATCGGATGACAGAGAAGTGGGACAGAATATTTTCTTTTTTCAGTTCATCTTATTCCCAATGAAAGGTAAAATTCAAATTTCACACAATCATATATCTTAAGAGCTATACAAATTTATGGAATAATTAAGCTTTTTGCATTAAAAAAAAGAAATGAAAATTATAGAAACATACTTGAGCAGTATTGATTGACTTGTTGGTGAATTTTTCCGAGTTCTTGGCTCATAATCTTGGCAACCACTCCCCGAATGCAACGACGACAAATTATTGCCTCGACTCCGCGAAAGCTAAATTTATGTTATATTAATGATGGCTTTATGACATTTTACATCCTTCTCGAGGGACTAATTATGTTAAAAGACTTGCGTCAATCTGACTTTAAGTCAACAAGACCGGCGAATGTAATTACCATTTTCAGACAATCATTAGGTGAGGGAAATTATTAACACTAAAAGATAATGATAGATTATGTGAAATGATACAAATAAATTTATTTTGAAATGTTTGAGAGAAAAAAGCGCACAATATAGATGGATATTTAAATTGAAGAAAATTATTAAAAAAGAAAAATTTGATCGCAATAAATAAATAGAAAAAATCAACTATTTACTATTTGGGAGGGAAAAATGAGCAATCCTTCCATTAGCATCTTTTAATTCAGGCGCATAATACATCAATTCCCTTCCCTATACTTTTATAATTAATAACAATCAACTAAATTAGTGTAAATTAAATATTACAAGAGACATTTCGCAATCTTTCATTAATAAAATATGCATATTCGTAATAAATAATAAATTGTACAAAGTTTTCATACATTCATTTACATACGCTCCGATGAATGTAGTATAGCATGAAATCCAGTAAGCAATAATTATAAATAATAATAATAATAACAGTAATAATAATAACAATAATAATTATTATTGTCATTATTATTATTATAAGTTAATAATAATAATAAATTAGTTACTAATTACTGACTGATACAACTTTACTGCAGTTTACCTTTTTTCTTTATAATTATCCACAATTCTTTTGAAAAGAATTACTCTGAGTTAATAAGTTTCTATCCAATCCATCATTTCAGTGATAGTAAATTTCGAAATAAATTTTCAGAATTTAACTTAAAATCAATTTTTACTTTTCCCATATATAAATAGTTATGAGTTAATTGTGTGAGGAAAGAGAAATATCGAAAACAATATGCTTTAGCATAGCATAATAGTAATGAAAACTGCACACTGAGAGACAGGCCGGGAAAACACCTTAACTCTCCAATGATACTAAAAATTTTTATTCTAATCCATCTGCCACCTTCCTCCATTCATTGTTACAATCAATAATATAATTAATGGATAATTTGAAAAGGAAAAAATAAAAACTAAAAATTCAATCTTACTTTTGTTACTTAATGAATCAATTTCATGAAAATTTTTATGATCAATTTAATATTCCTGATTGTAATCTTCATAAAACCAAGATTTCTAGCCAAGAATCTCCTGTCTAACTCGTTTCGATTAATATTTTTAAGATGATATTTACTCATAAATATATCGCAAAACTGAGAAAAAAAAAAGCAATAGATGAGTACCATAAACATTATTCGAAAGAGATCTACAGTATGTCTGTTAAGAAAAACTTTACAATCCCCGATTTTCTCAAAATAAATACTCTGCATTTTCAAATAAAGTAAATGAATATTTCATGAAAAGAACACTTGTAAGTGTCGTTATTAACATGTTTAAAGACAAACAAAAAAAAAAAGAATTGGATAAGACAATTTTGAATTTTGAAGAGAGAACGATACTTTATGAAATTCATGAAAGTATTTTCTCGACTCTCAAATTTCAAAAGTCACTTTGGAAAATTATAAGTGAAATATATGGAATTCAATTCATTCAGTAGAATTTAGTCACTTATGGAAAAACAAATCAGCAACTAAAAAATTTTGGCTGAAAAAGAACCATCAAATTGTTAGGTTTTTGGCGAATAAAATCTTTCAATGATTGCCAACAAATTGTAGGAAAAAGAGAACAAGAAAAGGAGAAGGACATCGAGAAATTGACATATCGGGAAATTTCAATGAAGATTTCAAATTTGAAAAACACTACCGATTGAGGATGCTTAACAGAATTAGGACTTTCTTGATAAAGCCTGCAGCATTCTCCGGAAGACAAACAAAACTTTTGCCATTTAAAATTTTTGAAACTAAACTTAAAATGATTCAACTAATTTTAACTGTTCATCCCAATAGTTAATTGTTCAAAACGATGCCATTATATTGAAAGATAAATAGAAAAAAGGAAATGAGAAAAAGAAAAGAAAGAAAAAAGAAATCTCACTGAACTGATTTTGAAATGGAGGAAGTAGTGATGATGAAAAAAGATGCGCATTATATTGAAAATTAAAATTGTCTAAAGGGTTTTTAAAAAGCTGAAAGTCCTGAATAGAGAGGCGCAATTCATAGAGCCAATTCAACGAATCCCTTAGGAGTTTTGTTTCGGAAATTTGCATAGTTAATACATACACTTGCTTCAAAATGATTCAATTTAAAAACAAAAAAAATGCAATTAGCAACAAAATAAGATTGACCGGAACTATTGCTACTGAAATTGATGATCCTGTTTTCAATTCTTTAAATGAAAATGGTGGAATTTGTTATCCTGCTGAGGGAACAGGAGGGGTGTTAATTTTGTTGGTCGTTAATTTTGCCAAATGCAATGTGATGTACTACTTAGATAATTACCTTTCCCACTGAACATCCTTACGGAAATAAGAATTCGAAACAATTCGTTATAATTAAATTCATTAAGGAGGTGAAATCTTCCAATCAAAAAATACATAAACGTTTATGCATGAATGACTAACCCTTACTATATAAATATGTGAATGAATATTATACAATAAACACAAGGATTTAGGATTTATAAAATACGATTTTAAAATTTCCATTTGCCAAACTTAAAAAAAAAAAGACTGAACATCACCTGGACAATTCCCCCTCTTTTCATCGACTTTCCTTAAAATTTCCACTTCCAATTGATGATAGGGGGAAAAAAAAAACTTCCAATTACTTCTCAATTTACATCCTAAACGATCCAACTATCTTTTTTTCTCTTCCACATCTTTCAGTCATTTTTCGAGACGATAAATGAAAATAGTAGTTATGGATGATATATCGGATAAATTCAAGGTCGAGACCGAGATAAACTGGAATGTTAATGCTAGCAGATAAATTTGACAAGAGTAGAGATACCTGAAAGGTTGTTGCTGACTAAAATCTACTCTTTCCATCGATCATTTGCTATTATTTTATCAGAAATCAGAATATTTCTGATGAGATAGGATAATCAATTCCCAACAACGATCACAACGAACAAAAAAGACGAGAAGATAATATTTCGAGCAGCGACCAAACAGTTCAATTAAATTGATGAAACATTTAAATGAAAGATGCATAATATTTGTTCATATTGTTGAAGATTTCTTATCCAACGGATGCAAGTAAGGGACGTGATAGATGTCAACAACTTATCCCAAGACAACAAACTTCCAAACTGCCAATCTTCACTAAAGAAGGAATTCTTTGTTCACTTCAATTCGGCTTCGTCCAACAAATTTTTTTAATTTCAAGCAAATCTGCTTGTAAAATTTTAACAAGTAGTGTTAAACTAACGATGGTAATTTTTAATTTTGAAATTTCAAGCAAACTGAAAATGATAATTGTAATGAAGATGGAATAATACGGTATGACATTGAAGTGACAAACGAGAAGGATACTCAGTGGTTGGAAGAGACAGAAAAATTTTATTTGTAAATTTTGAAAAAAGAAAAGTTTTTTTGTTCTAAAATAGGAATGACTGAAAAAAGATAGAAAAATGAGACAAAAAAGAAAAAATTGGAAGATCGATGGAAATTGCACTATTAAAAACATTGAATGCTACAGCAAAACTTTTATAGCAACTGGTTCCATTATTATTGTCAATGTATTAGAGTAGTTATAAGAGTAATAATAAAACAGGTAGGGTGTATGAGAGAGGAAATGAAAGTCCTATTTTGACTTTAGAATTAAAGCAGTAAGGTATCTCAAAATACAGTTCAGAACATTTCGGGAGATAGTATATAATAGTACTGTTGATAATAAATTTTCCCTTTTCTATGTTTACCTTCTTCTGTTTCCTCACTTATTACCCTCTATTTATTTTACTAGAAAAATTCTTCACCAACTTTTAAGTCCTGCTAAACGAGGGATCGAAGGACAGGTCACCAAACTCTAGATCTAGTACATGCGTTTAATTGTACTAATGGCGATATTTTCCATTTCATCTTATTTTTAGATCAATAATTCATTTCCTACATACTCGATATACAAATATACAGGTATACGAACAATAGATATCTTTTGTAATGAACCGATGTCGGAAATAAATTTGTAAATCTAAAATCCCCAAATTAAGTTTTTTCAAAATTATTTTATTCATACAATTTATCAGAACTTGATGATCTCAGTGATCATAAAAGAAGCCAAGTGCTGGCCTTCTACGAGATAAAAATCATAAATGATTCTTGATAACAAAGCTTCTTAGAGAAGCAAGTTAATTATCTTTCCGCCAAAATTTTCTACGGCCTTTTTTTCAAACCCACAGTTTTAATTTTAAATTCAAAAATTTCCTCTCTTTTCTATAGTATATCCAAATGCTCTTCTACTCTACTGAAATTCATCTTTAAATTTACTCACTTAGAATCACTTAAAATTAAAGATAATAAATGGGAATTTTAAAGATGACGCGAAATTATCAGAACCCTAATTCAGCCTTGTTAATGATACAGTGATGAATGAAAAGAATTAAATTTAGGTGGGATAGTAGTAGTGGTTATTGAAGTTTTAATGATAACTATTGTAAAGTGAAAATCACTGTGATATGATATATAATGCCGCCTCATATTATAATAGCAACGGAAAATGGCTACTTATGTATCATCAAAAATTATAACATTTCATTAGTGGTAGGAAACTGAAAAGTCTTCATTTACTGGGAAAGTATTCTGGATTTCAGAAATGTTTGAAATCATGAGAGAAATAAAATTGCTTCATTTGATTCGCAATTTCTCTCTTATATAAGTTTCATTTTTGGAAAAGCATTGAAAAGAAGATTTAATTTGAATTAATTAACAATCTTTTAGAACAGAATTTTAGTATGAGAAATATACGACAAAAAATATTTGAAAAAAAATTCCTTTCAATCTCTGATAACCTTCAAATTTAATTCGAGCAATCAATTCT